AAATTTTCACAGTAGCTTTCTGAAGCTCTAATTACAATTTAGTATAAACATCTTAAATTACCAGGAGATTCATAGCGCCATCCAAAACTTGCTTTGTCTTCATCAAATACAGAGCCAAACGACGAGATTCTTTCCGACAAGTAGAACTCATAAATGGGCGGGATGGTCTCTGAACATTCGATGAACTTCAATAACAAACGGCCCCCTACGTTCTTCATCACTGTCGCAGGCCACACTTTCTGCGGGTCGCGCTTGTCATGGACGTCCACTAGCTGTCCGACTTTAATTTGATCCACAGGTAGGATGATGTCAGGGAGATCCTAAAGCAAGCTGAATTAGTGATCATATGTACGTATGCCGGACTAAGGATGTGAGATGCACCCATGCACAGAGCGACACGGATACGTAACCAGGTTCAATGTCCCACTCCTTCCAAATATCTAATAACAAGAGACGGGACCGCAGTATTATGTAACTCGGTTTGGCCTGGCTTCTTCTTATTAATAAATGTAAGCGAAACTAGATCAATAAAACGCAAAAATAAATAGCAGTATAAAACAAGGTATGGATCATATGTTCTGCACGCAGTTCAATGTATGGTTGCTTGTATTTCGAATGATCAAAGCCCGTGATTCAAAACACTCGACTTCAAATTTTACTACATTCTCTCAGCACCGTTATGACAGGTTCAATGACTCATTTTTCCTATTATTGAATTCGTTGCATTTCTCGTATTAAGATGCAGGAACAAAACAAATCGGAAAATCAGTGCCAAAGTAAATAAGAGAACGAGAGCCTACTGATTCGCTGCTTTTCTTGTGGTTTATGGTAAGTGGATACAAAAGATATTCGACGGAGGCACCGTGGTGAAACCGTCCAGATACACTAGTATCGTGCTGGAAACGGTTACAATAAGTAAGAGTCGGGCAATGGCAAACTATGGAACGGTGGATATGGAATACCACAACGATAGCAATAAAAACGCATCCGCTATCTTTTGCCTACAATGATATTCACTCTCAATGTTTTCATCGCCAAACATATCCTAGAACGTAATAACTCCTTCCCTCAGCTGGTTTCCCGCTTATTGCAATTACGTTGACCGTGCATCTCAAAGCAACATGTAATCGCAACATCACTTTCGCAAAATAATAATACTGATTTAAATCCGTACATTAAAATTTAGTCAGATATGAAGTAACCAGAATTAAGGCACAAACGCACAAACAATAAGCACATACGGTGTTGGTATTTACATTCGACTTGAGGTCTTTGGTCGCCTTATCGGCTGAAGCGAATTTCGCCAGAATTTGGTTGCACTCTTCGACGATCGCCGCTGAATTCATGTCTGCCATCTCTAAACGACCTCCTGTAATTAAACGGGCACACGAAGGCAAAAAACTCACTTAAGCTGCTTCGTGGAGGTTCAACTGGTAACTTGCTTCTCAGACAGTAATCGATGGTGGCAATGGGGTTCGATTTGTCGTTGATATCGTACCACTTGGTTTTCGGACTACCGATACCGCCGCCGAAGTAATATCCGATCAGCTGCAGTTGAACGTACAGCCCACAAGTCTTTTTGATTTCTGCTGGCCAAAACGATTCCACCTTGCTCGTAACGTTATTAACCGACAGCACCGCGGCGTAGCCATTGAAGCCGTCGGCGATGCTCAGGCTGGCTCTAACGTGCCAAAAGGAGTTGGGCGCCACAGCGATGCATCCATTTTTGACAAGAAACTCCTCCCAGTTGAATCCGGAGTCCCATATCTTCTCGCCATCATTCGACTTCTCCGATATCATCGAGCAGCAGTCCTGGTTACCGAGATCGACTGAATTCAGCATTTCATTCATACACATATGCACGTCGATGTCCAGCTCTTCCAACGTCGTTAGCATCGGTAACAGTTATTCACCTAAAAATATTCATTGATGTAGTGCATCCGTTACACCCAGAAACGAATGAATGAAGCAACCACTGGTTTTACATAGATGATATCTTAGGCAGTGGTCGCTGCCATCGAACATACTCAAACAACCGTCTGTCGAATTTTTCATTTTCAAATGAAATAACCGCAAAAGCGGACCTAACATGACTCGGTGGCATAAGTGAATAAAGTCGGACCCAACAACATTTGCTCAGGTATCTGACTTTGCACAGAGATGATTCATGAGGGAGCGTAAAACTGATGAGCGTAAACTGTCAAGTGCGGCGTGAAGAATATGACTATGCGTTAAATCCTTAAGTCACCGCTTTCAAACCTTCTCGTTGACCTTATGCATCAGTAATTTGGTCAGACAGAGATACCACCTTCATAATGGCTGCAAAAAATCATTTGGTGATGAGGTAGAAGTGAAATGCAAATGGAGATAAGACAGTTTACTCGTTTAGACCAGTGGCTTATCCAAGAATTCAAAATTACAATTGTCAGAGGCAGAGATTATTGAGCAAAGACCCAATGGGTGACCATGTGCTATTAAAAACTCATCGATGTCCATGACATTTCAGAAGAATTATACGAGTTTCTATGCTGCAATACGCTATTAGGCTAATACGACGGTTCTGCACAAGTTCTGTCAGCTTCTAACTCCAAACTCACGACTTCAAACCTTAGATCAAACTAAAACTTCTAAAGCAAAATATGTTCCATCACAATCAACACACTTCTGCCAACTAATACTTATGTCCATATTTATATCGGAATAAATCTGAATCTTTGGAATCAGTGATCTGCCTGAAGCTGACTCAATCACTAGTTAACTGAAAAACGATTATTCGAGGAGAAAGCTGTTAAATCGCTTTAAAAGGTACTATCATTTGTGGAAAGCCAGGTGGAAAGGGTCAATGAGAGAGACTGTCCGATCCTACCCCAGTAGAAGAGTTATTAAAGAGAATCCTGTTCCGCCCAGTGAACATCAAATACGTCATGCTTAATACTATAGCTGCCCATGCCCGACAAATGTATCGCGTGACAGTGACAGAAACGTTTTCTACAACTGCTTGCAATTACCTGTTAGCGCTTTGAAGCGTCATGACGTCATAGTTGTCACATGGGATCTTAACGCGAAGGATGGAGCCAAATACAACGCCTGGCCAGGCGTATCCGGCCGTTATGGAACTGATACGGGGAATCACAACTGAGTGAGGAACAGAGAGGTTAATCATCGACTGGTCGCTGTTCCACAGTAAGTGAATCCACAAAACTACATGGACATCCTTTAACTAAGGCCCATACTCTCAAATGGACCACGTTCTCATCATTAGCAAATACCGCAACTCAATACTTGATAAGTGTCACGCATGCAAAATGCATTTTGTCAAATGACCATATGGCCGTAGCGAAACTTAGTCTAAAATTAATCGTTTCCCACGCATATCGACCATTAAAAGGCTAAAATATCAGGAACTGACACAGTTAGCGTATCAAAATGAAGTAGTGAATTACTTTAGTGCCTCAGTCTGAAAATGGAAACGTCGAAGCTGACAGACTTCAACGATGGGGTCATTTCCACTGCAAAATACAGTTGAGATCAGCTAGATGAGAGCCAAACTGCTACGAATTATGGAGAAAACGCTAGTCCTTAGAACGGAAATGAATCAGGCAAAGAAGAAGCATTTTCAACACCTTACCGCAACTTTAAAGGCAGCTCATCATCTTCTCGTCCTTGTCATCAGTCAGAACTACAGGCAGCATATGAAACCTTTGGTTGGGAGGGGAAATCAAACCGAACGAAAAGGCAGCATGAAAGGGAGACTGTCGAATAGTGTTTAAATTGGTGCGACATTTATCCAGAAAGCATGGTACTCGATCTATCCCTATCCACAACGCTAAAGGTGCTCCATTGGCAGGTCACGCCTCAAAAAACTGGTTCAGCATTTCCGGAAACTGCTCAAGTTGCACTCGGATTCCATAAATTCTCTGCCAACGCTACAAGAGAGTACAGAATAGGTACAGAATCACCCACGGGATGCATCAAATTCCTCCGTAATTAATGAAGTATTAAGGAAGGGGAATGGTAAAAAAACTCATGGCCTGTTTATCATAATGTGGGCCTCGAAACGCTTCCCTGGAGAACGAAAATGTTAAATAATTGCCACAATATTTAAGCGGGTAGGACGAACGAATTTTCCAATTATCGTGGCATCACACTACTGTCAACTACCGCAAAACCATTCACTTGAATTATCGTGGAAAGATCGATAATGGGTGACAGCTCAGAGAAGACTGTGTCCAAATCACGCAGCTTTCTGGACGAGGTATTCAAGTCCGAAACAAATTTTCACTCCATATAGAATGATTTTCACTTCGTACAGAGCAGTGCCAAGGATACCAGCTGTCCTGAGTTATCGGTTTCCATGACTTTACGGATGCTTTTAATTTACTACGTCGACAATACAGAAAATTTTAAAATGCATTATTTCCCTTTTCGAATAGATGTACGCAGGAATCATGTTCTGCTGTCAAATTTAACGGACAGCTGTCTGAGCATTATCATATTAAAGGTGGAGTTCGCTAGTGAGATGCGCTTCTGCACTTTGCTTCTGCATCTGAACATTATTTCAGATTTCTAGACTTTTCTTTCTGATATACTGTTAACCCTGACGAATACGAAAGGAAGGCGCAGTTCAAGAAATTCGGCTAGAAATCTTAATAATCTGGAGTATGCAGATAATATTGTCCTGGCGAAGGAAGTGCGCTGTGTCCCGCGACGGCTTCTGTTTCCAAAAGAGCTGCGAAAGCCGGCATCCACCTTAACGCCCGGAAGTCTGAAGATATGAGGAATTCATCATATGTGACTGGTCTGCTAGTGTAATAGAGAAGCGAAGCTATAGAGGAAATGGACCAGTTTAAGTATCTCTGCTCAATTAACTGTAATAAGTGTATCTTCCAATCATAATTAAACAGAAGGTTCGCATTAGCATTCTGTG